GTTCAAGTTTTCTATCTCTTCCTGGTCCAGTTTTGGGAGACTATGTGTTTCTGGAAATTTGTCCATTTTGCTCAGATTGTTGAATTTATTGCCTTATAATTGTTCATAATATTTGTTAACGATCCTTTGTATTTCTCTGGTGTCAGTTATTATTTCTCCTCTTTCATTTCTGATTTTGTGTATTTGGGTTCTCTCTCTTTGTTTCTTGGTGAGTCTAGCTAAGGGTCCATCAATCTAGTTTATCTTTTCAAAGAACCAGCTCTTTATTCCTTTGATCCTTTGAGTTGTTTTTTGGTCTCCATGTCATTTAGTTCTGCTCTGACCTTTGCCATTTCCTTCCTTCTATTTGCTCCGGGGTTTTCTTTTTGTTTGCTCTCTAGTTCTTCAAGTTGTGAGGTTAGATAGTCTATTAGAAAATTTTCTTGTTTCTTGATGTAGGCCTGTAGTGCTATAAACTTCCCTCTCAGAACTGCTTTTGCTGCATCCCATAGATTTTGTGTTGTTGTGTATTCATTTTCATTGGTTTCCAGGAGGTTTTTAATTTCTTCCTTGATCTCCATGGTAACCCATTCATTGTTCAATAACATGCTATTTAGCCTCTGTGTTCTCAAATGTCTTTGCATGTTCTTGTTGCAATTGATTTCTAGTTTCATGCCATTGTGATCTGAGAAAATGCTTGACATGATTTCAGTCTTCTTGAACTTGTAGAGACTTAGTTTGTGCCCTAACATGTGGTCTATCTTTGAGAAAGTCCCATGTGCACTTGAGAAGATTGTGAATTCTGCAGTTTTGGGGTGTAATTCTCTGTAGATATCTATGAAATCCATTTGATCGAGTGCTTCATTTAGAGTCTGTGTTTCCTTGTCAATTTTTGGTCTATATGATCTATCCAGTGATGTCAGCGGGGTGTTGAAGTCCCCTGCTATGATTGCATTGCTGTTGATTTCTCCTTTGAAGTCCTCCAGAAGATTTTTAATATATTTTGGTGCTCCTATATTGGGTGCATATATGTTTATGTAGTGGCCTTCTTTGTCTCTAGTTATGGCCTTCATTTTGAAATCTATTTTATCAGATATGAGTATTGCTACCCCAGCTTTTTTCTTTTCGTTTGCTTGAGAGATTTTTTTTCCATCCCTTCACTTTCACAGTCTTCTTTTGTGAGGTGGGTCTCTTATAAACAACATATATGTGAGTCATGCTTTCTTATCCAGTCAGCTCTTCTGTGTCTTTTTATTGGAGCATTCAAACCATTCACATTTAAGGTGATAATTGATATATACTTATTTATTGCCATTTTTGTTTAGTGTGGTTATATTTCTCTTCCCATTTCTTCTACTAATTACAGCATTCCTTTTAGCATATCTTACAGTACTGGTTTGGTGTTAATATATTCCCTTAGCCTTTTTTTTTTTTTTTTTTTTCCTGGAAAGCTCTTTATTTGACCTTCTATTTTGAATGATAGCCTTGCTGGGTAGAGTAGTCTTGGATTCAGATCCTTGTTTTTCATGACCTTGATTACTTCATGCCACTCCCTTCTGGCCTGTAGTGTTTCTGTTGAGAAGTCAGCTGATAGCCTTATGGGGTTTCCTTTGTAGGTAACCTGTTTCTTACCTCTTGCTGCCTTTAGGATTCTCTCTTTGTCTTTAATTTTTGGCATTTTAATTACTGTGTGTCTTGGTGTGGGACTGTTTGGGTTCTTCTTACTTGGGGTTCTCTGTGCTTCTTGAACTTGAATGCCTTCTTCCTTCACCAAGTTAGGAAAGTTTTCTGTCACTGTTTCTTCAAATATATTCTCTAACCCTTGCCCATTTTCTTCGTCTTCAGGAACTCCTATGATGCCAATGTTATTACGTTTCCAGTTGTCCCACAGTTCTCTTAAGCTGTCTTCCTGTTTTTTCATCGTTTTTTCCTTTTGGTTTTCTGATTGGTTGATTTTTTCTACCCTGTCTTTTAATTCACTGATCTGGTCCTCAGCTCTCTCTACTCTGCTGGTTAGTCCTTCCAATGTGTTCTTAATTTCTGCTATGTCATTCTTCATTTCCTCTTGGTTGGTTTTCAATGTTTCTATATCTTTTCTCATGGTGCTGATGCCCTTGCTCATGCTGTTGAGCTTCCTCATGATCATGGCTCTGAACTCTACCTCTGATAATTTGCTTAACTGCATTTCATTTTTCTCATTTTCGATATAGTTCTCTTGTTCTTTCATTTGGGATTTGTTTCTTTGATTCACCATTTTGGCTCTCTCAGTGGGTTTTGGAGCCTGCCAAATTTTCCCTGTGGGTGTTGGTGTTCTGCTGTTGGTGGCTCCCTCTCCTGGTTTTGGATGAGGCAGGGTGGGCCCACGTTAAACACCACTGTCAAGTCTTACTTTCCTGGGTAGATTTGCAACCCCAGGAATGGTTCAGTTATCCTCTAGCTTTTTCCTAGAGGCTACTAGTCTCAGTTACTTAGTGCCTTGGAATGTAGCCCTGGTGTTCTGCATAAGAGGATTTCCAGAGGGTGGGATAGATGCTCATTGTTAATAAGCCTTGATTTGCATTTTTTTGCCTCACCTGGGAAAGCCTGAATCTTCGAGGGGGCGGGGGCTGCTTTTCCCCTCAGCTCTGGGAAGGAGCACACTGGCCTCGGTCTTTTGTGGCCACAACCCAGCAAAAACTCTAAGTGCCTTCCAAATCCCGGCTGTCCCTACAGGGTTCCAGCCTAGTCTTCCCTCCCTCTGCTGTAGCCCCTAGGTGAGTGGCTGTGGCTATCTTAGAGTTCTGTCCCGGCTCTCTGCGCTGTGGAGCAGGCTTGGTCTTTATTCCCCAAGGGCACTGCTCACAGCTAAGACTGCTGCTGTCCGTGGGCTCCCAGCCCACCACCCTCTCATACCTCCGCAGATCCTACCAGTGTCCCTGGTTATATGGTCCTGTCCTGCTGCTTTTCTGTTGCTTTTTTCCGAGGATTTGTCTTTATTTTAGTTGTAATTCCCGTTTGGTCCTGGGAGATCGTCTGTGTAGCTTCCATTCACTCCGCCTCCATTTTCACATCCTCTAAGCCTACCTTGTGCACAGCTGGGTCACACAGGCCTCTCTGGTGCCCCCGCACCATGCTGGTCCCTTGTGTAACTGGATCGCACAGTCCCTCTGGGGTCCCGGCTCTATGCCTATGTTATGGGCTGCTGGGGCGCACAGGCCTCTCTGGTGCTTCAGCACCCCGCAGGTTCCGCAGGTAACTGGATGGCACAGTCCCTGCTGGGTTGCACAGGCCTCTCTGGTGCCCCTGCACCCTGCAGGTCCCATGGGTGGGCAGCTGGATCACACCATTCCCTCTCAGGCTCTGGCTTTCTACCGCTCTTATGGGCTGCTGGGTCGCACAGGCTTCTCTGGTGCCCCAGCACCCAGCAGGACCCACGGGCAGCTGGATGGCACCAGTCCCTCTTGGGCTCGGGCTTCCCACTGCTCTTGTGAGCTGCTAGACTGCACAGGCCTCTGTGGAACCCCAGGTCCTGCCACTGGAGGCTGGGGAGTGCTGCTGCCCCGTGGGGCTCAACTCCTGCTCAGCTTTTACTGTAGATTTTGGGAATGGGTCTCAGCTGCTGGTCTGTGCTTCTGTTGCCTGGGGATGGACGTCTGCTCCCCAGCCTCTGTTGCTGGGGGTATGTCTCAACTCTGATCAGGCTGCTACTGTGGGGGATGGTGCTGGGCTCCAGGCTGTCTGCGGCTTCCGCAACAGGCACCTTGGGAGCTCCACTACTGTGCACTGGTCTGTGTGACAAAGAGTGTCCACTGGTCCGATGGAGCCAGGTACACTGGTGGACTCAGGTTGCTGGGCCCTAGCTGCTCCCACTGCCTCCTCCCAGGGAAGACCAGGGATCTTCCAAAATTGTGTGACCTCCCCGAAGCGCCCTGAAGGGCTGCTTACCACGGGAGCAGGCCGCTCTGTCCACAGCACAGGAACCTTCTGCTCTGCGTCTCTGCACTGCAGGAGTTTGGTCGTCCACCTTCACGTCCACTCACACTCTCTCACACACTAGCTCACTCTCTCACACACTCACCCTCCCTCGGTCCTGCCCACCGCCATCTTCTTTCATCTGAAATTATTTCTAAAAAAAAAAAAATTATAATATCTAATTCCTGAACAATTATAGATTACTTAATATAAAATGATTGAGATAACTGAATTATAAGTATATAGGATTTGGGGCCCATTATCAACAATTTATCTTTTATTTGAGAGACCAGATTATGCATATAAATAAAAGTTGGGATTTGATAAAGTACTGAAGTAAATGTCAAGTCCTAAGTATATCCCATAGATATCATTAAGGGATGTGTAGTTTGAAATTATCAGCAAAACCAAAAATCCAGTTTCTAAGAAACTTGTGACTCTTTGGAAAAGTCAAAAAGAAGCTTTTTTGGAAAGAATTTTTCCAATGCTGCAGAGTAAGCATGTTGCAGAGACCATTCAGATTAATGAGGTTTTCCATTAACAGTTTTCATGAGTCCCAGCAGTGCTCTTAGAGACACCCTCAAGAGTTTTGCTTATGTTCCTTGTTGCAATTGGCCTAGAGTGGGATTCCCTGCCCACCGTATTACTTTTATTGGGTGTTTTTTTTTTTCTTGTCTTCATTTTATTTTTCTCCCTCTGCTTACACACTTCATCAACTGAATATTTGAGGTAAGATACTAATTTCTATGTATATATGCCTATTTATTGTAAAATATACTTAGCATATATTTTTAAAATATCTAATTATAATTGGCTAGGTTATCAGAATAATCGAACATGAAAGGTGCTTACTGAGAAAGTACGTTTATTTGTAAATGAAAGTAATTTGAATTTCAAATGATAATTATTTGTAGAAGTTATTGAAAGTATTGGTATTAAAAGAGGTTCTTTGGGCATTTTCTCACTGGGAATACTGAATACCAGAAGCTGTGGCTGCCTTTCTGTGAGAACAGAAACCGAACGCTCTTTTACCTTCTTTATATAACTGGACTCTTCATGTTCATTTCCAGAGCAGCTGTTTGTGCTTGGCGCACTGGGAACTCCTGTGATAATTAGCCCACGGTAGCTTTATCTGTACATCCTCACACATAAAGAAGAAAGAAAATGGCCTGTGCTGAGTATTCTTTTCATGTGCCAAGTCTAGAGGAACTTGTTGGAGGTAAATACAATACTAGCTTTAAGCTTTTAAAATTATGCCTTGGCCGGTTTGGCTCAGTGGTTAGAGCATTGGCCTCAGACCAAACAGTGAGTCGCAGGTTCAATTCCGGTCAAGGGTACATACCTCAGTTGCAGTTCAGTCCCAATGGATGTGTCTCTCTCACATCGATGTTTTTCTCTCTCCCCTTCTCTCCCCCTCTCCTTCTCTTCCTCCCACTCTGTCTGAAAATAAATGGACAGATATCGTCGGGTGAGGATTTAAAACAAATAAATAAATAAATAAATCTATTCTAAGAAAAAATAAAAATATTGTAAGATACGATTTATGCACTAGTACTTTCTTCTTTTTAATTTTTTATTTTTTTAAATCCTCACCCAAGGATATTTTTCCATTTATCTTCAGATAGAGTAGGGCGGGGGCAGGGAGAGAGAGGGAGACAGAGAGAAACATCCACATGAGAGGGACACATCGACTGGTTGCCTCCTGCACAACCCCGACCAGGGCCTGGGATGCGATAGTACTTTCAATACAGAACTTGTTTTCCTTTTCAGTATCTGTTCTATACTACTTTTATTGAGAGTCCAAAATTCTGCCCCTCCCCCAAAATTAAACTCACTATTTGAAGATTCTTGATAGTTTTATAGAGTGAAACAAATATAGTAATCTATGATTTAAGGGTGTGTGATGCTCAAATAATTACACAATTGTGCTTTAACTTTTTATCAGTTACAGTATTCTTTAACTATATAACTGATTGTGGTACATTAATTAGGTTCCCAATATACTATTCCCAACTCCATATGACAGACCGACAGCGAACTTACTTGCTTATATTTCTCTGTCTGCATGTATTTTTATGTATTTCACCTTATTCAAATAAGAAATTAAGGCAGCTTCAGAAGATTAATTAGGAGGGGAGCTAGATAATAAAAAGAAAAGGAAAACAGGAATATAAAATGAAGACAAGATGGTATTAATCCAAAACTGTAGCGCCTGTCAGGATGCTAACATTTGTTTTATGGCTTTTAGGTTCTATTCTGAGGGACCTACCCTTATTTTCTCCCAATGTATCTGTCCTGGTCATTTCCCTGACCCTCTGATAAGGTTGAAATCAAGAAGTATACTCATGTTTTACTTGGCTGTAGCTCTCCTCTTATACCTTCCTATTTTTCTCTGAAATCGAATGGCAGCTTGTAAACAATTTGTATTGCTAGTACTCTTTGCTTGTATTTCTGTTCTATCAGTCTTTCTGTCTTCCCTGATATAATAGGACAGCTGAGGCTAGACCTAGGATGACTTCTTGTTTTCAAAGATTCTGATTCTACAAGACTCAAACTAATGGCTGACACTGCTATCAGAGAAATTTTTATAAGAACTTTTATTCCTTGGAAATATATTGCATCCTAGCTTGTTTGGCTCAGCAATTAGAGCATCAGCCCATGCACTGGAGGGTTTTTGATTCTAGGTTAAGGGCATGTACCTGGGTTGCAGGTTCAATCCCTGGCCCTGGTCAGGGTCGCGTGGGAGGCAACCAATTATGTCTCTCTCACGTCGATGTTTCTCCCTCTCTCCTCTTCCACTCTCTAAAATCAATGGAAAAAATATCCTTAGGTGAGGATTAACAACAACAAAAGTATATTGCTCTTAGATTTATAATTTTGAGACATCTGTTTGCTTTTTTAGTTTTTTATTGAATTATAATATAATCTATAGTAAAGTACACTAATCTTAAGTATACAGCTTGGTGAATTTTAACATGTTTATACCATGTCACTCCCATCAAGATCAAGCTATAAAATATTTCCGGCATTCCAGAAGGCTCCTTCATGCACTTTCCCAGTCAGTATCTCTACCCAAGAGGTAACTACTGTTCTGACTTCTGTCACTTTAGTTACCCGTTTTTGAAATATATCATATAGTAAGTAGTCTTTAGTGCCTTGCTTTTTTTGCTCAACCTATAAGCTTCAAGGAGGTTGTTGAAAGTAACTGCTTACTTTCTATGAGATTTATTTATTTTTGTTACAGATGTTTCTTTTTTTCCCCCCATTGACACCCTCCTCCCAATCTCACCCCCCTCCAGCATTATTGTCTGTGTTCTTGTTTATGCATACATGCCTATACGTTCTGTGGTTTATCTCTTCCCTCCCGGCAACATCCACCCCTTCTGAGGTTTTTCAGTCTGCACCCGACTTCCATGTCTCTGGGTTTGTTTTGTTCATTATATTCCACAAATAAGTGAGATCATGTGATACTTGTCTTTCTCTGATTGGCTTGTTTTGCTTAGGATAATACTCTCCAGGTCCTTCCATGTCATCTCAAAGGATAAGAGATCTTTCTTTCTTACAGCTGCATAGTACTCCATTGTGTATATGTACCACTGCTTTTTTATCCACTCATCTATTGATGGACACTTGGGCTGCTTCCAGATCTTTGCTATTGTAAATAGTGCTGCTGTGAACTTTGGGGTACATATATTCTTTCTGATTGGTGTTTCAAGCTTCTTAGGGTATATTCCTAGAAGTGGGATCACTGGGTCAAATGGAAGTTCAATTTTTAATTTTTTGAGGAAACAGCATATTGATTTTCACAGTGGCTGCACCAGTCTGCATTCCCACCAGCAGTGTACTAGAATCCCCTTTTCTCCACACCCTCGCCAGTACTTGTTGTTTGATGATTTGTTGATGGTAGACTTTCTATTAGTTTTAATATTTACATTTCAACAGGTCTTTGGAATCCTCTCCCCAAAAGAAAGGTAGTCCTCACCTGAGTGCAGTGTTTCTCCTCAGTGGTTTATAATCACTATGATTTATTCTGGTATTTATGTGTCTTAGTCTACATGATAGCTTGTGATTAATTATGTGTCTAATGACAAATTATATTCATTAATCATTTCCCCCTCTTTTAAAAAAAATTGTTATTGATATTTTAGAGAGAGAGGAAGGGAGACAGAGATAGAAACATCGATGTGAGAGAGAAACATTGATTGGGACTATCTTCCACACGCCCCTCACTGGGGATCGATCCTGCAATTCTGACCAGGAATCAAATGGGGACTTCTCAGTCCACGGAACTACACTCAGTCCACTGAGCCACACCAGCCAGGCTCCCCCTCTTTTTTATTTTATTTTATTTTATTTTTTTTTTTTTTTTTTTATCCTCACCCGAGGACATTTTTCCATCTTTTGTTCAGATAGAGCGGGAGGGAGAGAGAGGAAGAGAGAGAGAGAAACATCGATGTGAAGGGACACATCAAGTGGCTGCCACCCGCACGACCAACCAGGGCCGGGGACAAACTGCAACCGAGGTACGTGCCCTTAGCGGGAACCGAACCCGGGTCTCTCTGTACCGCAGGCCGACACTCCAACTGCTGAGCCAAACCGGCCAGGGCATCCCCCTCTTTTTTAAAAAAAAAATTTTTTATTGACTTTTCTAGAGAGAGAGGAAAGGAGAGGGAGAAAGAGAAGGAAACATCAATAAGAGAGAACATTGACTGGCCACCTCCTGCATGCCCCCGACTAGGGATTGGGCCTACAACTTGGGCATATGCACTGACCAGGAATCGAACTGGTGACTGCTTGGTACATGGGTCGATGCTCAACCACTGAGCCACACCGGCTGGGCTCCCCCTCTTTTTTTAACTTCACAAGTTTAGGTTGGAAGTGTGATGCACAAAAAAGTCGAGGGAAGATTTAATATGTAGTGGCAAATTTTAATCTAATGTTAAAAAACCGTTTTTCATGTCTTTATTAGTTCTGCAGAAGGGGCTAAAGGATAACTTTGCTGATGTTCAGGTCTCTGTAGTTGATTGCCCTGATTTGACTAAGGAGCCATTTACATTTCCTGTAAAAGGTAAGCAATTTTTGCAATTAGCTTTTTTTTTTTTTTTCAGTCCCAATCTTTTTCTGAAACCAGAATTATTTTTAAGGATTAAAGTATCTACAAATAAGGATATTGTTTCAACTTTTAGACTAAATTGTGCTTAATTTCTGTGCTCACTATTTTCTAACATTGGTCAGATATCATTTTGTACTCTTGTGGAAAAATGTTTTGTTTTATGTGCTTTTGTAACTTTCACAGGTTATATAATGAATATTCAGTAGGCTAGAATCCTTGATATTTTATGAGAGTTTTGTTTTTAATTGCTCAAGTGACTTTTATGGAAACTTACTTTAATTTTTATGTTTTTATGGGAAGAGAATTTAAAAGCTTTGTATTTGAATAATCTATTAAATACTTATACTCCTTCAACATAAGCAGGATGTAAATCTAGGTCTGCTTCTAAAATCCAACTTTGTCCTACTATATGCTACTGTGATGAAGCATTTGAAGATAAACACTAATACTCAGTCACTCTTTTAGTGTGCAATTGACATCTTTGTCAAAAACTAGTTTTACAAGGAAGTCCTGAACTCTGGTTCTTTCTCTGTCATATTCAGATTACCCTGGGTAAGCTTGTTAATGTATTTGGACTTCATTGGGGAAAAGGGGTTGGGGGTTAAATGTTCTTTTGGTGGGGGGCTTCTTTCCAATTTAAACAGTCTTTGATTTTAAGTAAACCTGTAAATTCTAGAAGTTGCCACAATTTATCTTCACCTTGAAAGTATTTAGCGTAATACGTTCTTATAGCCATGTTTCTTCCAATTATTAGAATAATACATTTTCCTCCACTAAAAAAATATAATAAAATTAAATTAAAATTCTGAAAACTGAGGGTATAGGAAAAAGGAAAAAGTGTTTAATCTTAATTCTGTCATCAAAGGGTTATACTCTGAAAGAGTTATCTGGTCAATAATTTGTGAGTTTTTAAATTACAATACTGAGGAAACCAGATATGAATGTATATATGTATATAACACAGATAGGCACTTTTTACATGAACTGGTCTTGCTTTAAGTCCCCAATGACCTGAGTATGTTTACTAGTATTATTTGATCTCTACATACTTCATACTGTTTGCCCATTGTTACCTGACATCATTCTCTCTTCCTTTGGTTCTCCTCTCTCCTTTGTTCTTTTGCCTCTCTTTATTTATTTTATTTTTTTGTGTATGTCACCTGAGGACATTTTTGCATTTATCTTCAGATAGAGTGGGAGGGAAAACGGGAGGGAGGGAGGGAGAGATAGAAACATCGATGTGAGAGAGACACATCGACTGGCTGCCGCCCACACAAGCCCAGTCGCCGGGGCAAACTGCAACCGAGGTACGTGCCCTTAGCGGGAACTGAGCCCAGGACTCTGGTCCACAAGACAACGCTCTAACTGCTGAGCCAAACCGGCCAAGGCTTGCCTCTCTTTCTTGTTGCCTCTCCTGCCCCCATGATGTTCTTTCTTCCTCATCTTTCCTGATTCCTTTCTCTTTCTAGCAGGCTTTCAAATGTTAATGTTTTCCAGAATTTTTTTCTCAGCCTCTTCTTACTCTGTGCATTCTCTCTGGGCTTTTCCATTTACCACAGTGGGTTTAATTACTATTTGGTTACAACAACTTTGAAATCTGTACATCTCACCTAGATCTCTTTTTTGTTAGCTGTAGATCAGTAATTACAGGGGTCTACAGGACATCTCTACCTGTGGATGCTAAGGACAGCTTGAGGTCAACATGTAACTCACCATAGCTGCCTATTCTTTCTTTGTTCTTTTATTTATTTTTATTTTTTATTTCTAATCTTTGTTCTTTTTCTTAATTTCCTTTTCTCCATTTCTATAAGTCACCATTTTTAGCTCTTTACTTATTTTTTCCTTGAACTACTGAAATAGTCCTATAATGGTGGTTTCTCTAAACTTAAGCATTACTGTCAGTTATGATAAAGAGTCTTATCCATGAGCAATTTCTGCTGATCCCATGGAAGACATTTATAAAATCTCTAATTATAAATGGGACCTAACAGAATTGTGTACATCTACCCTCTGCATAGCTGAAGAAACAGAGCAATTATACCTATATTACTGGGTAGTGATGTTAGTCTGAAACTGAGAAGACTACGTGTTTTGTTTTGTTTTGTTTTCAGACAAAAGGTAATTATTTTCCACTCTACATTAAAAAAAAATGCCTTCTCCCAAATTATTGTACTTGTGATGTTAATTAAAAATGTAAATAAAGCCCTGACCAGGTGGCTCAGTGAATTGAAGCACTGTTCCCTACACCAAAAGGTTGCAGGTTTGATTCCAGGTCAGGATTATCTACTCTTAATAAATTAAACTAGTGTCTTCTGGCATTTTATAGTACTTACATTAGATGTTTGCCTAAGTTTAAGATGCTTTTTTTTTTAGGCATCTGTGGGAAAACTAGAATTGCAGAAGTAGGAGGTGTGCCTTACTTAATGCCTCTTGTAAATAAAAAAAAAGTAAGTGTACCTTTACTCTTCACATTCCCATGAAGATTGTAGAATTTGGGTTGATTCCTCTTATTAGAAGATCATTTTGACCAATGTGGCAAGGAAGTGTTGATGGACTCAGTAATAAAAGTAAACCAGAGAATTTGTATAACTTATGATTCAAATAATATTGTTTTCTTCTTTTATAGGTTTATGATCTAAATAAGATTGCAAAAGAAATCAAGCTTCCTGGAGCTTTTATTCTTGGTGCGGGGGCAGGCCCATTTCAGACTCTTGGGTTCAATTCTGAGGTCAGCATATATATAATATAATTATTTTTCTTTATAGACATTTGGTTTGCATTTTTTCTTTTACCTCCCTATCAGATATCTTACTTTCTGAATGAATTGTAAGTGGTTGATGTCATGTCTCTCTACAGATTTGCTACTATTTGATACAGCTTTGGACTACAGCACATGCTCCAGCTGGAGCAACTGTAATGGGACACTAAGCTCTAATTGCAGATTTTCTTAGGGTATACACTCAGTCTTAGATGAGTGCAAGGTCTTACTGTGGTCTGGTGTGGATCTGGATTGTGAAAGATTTTAATCCTTATACATCAGGATTTTTAGCTTTTCCATAAATCTTTGATTTTGGTACGAGAGCAGTTTTCAATCAGAAGATGAATGGAATATTTAATGATCTAATCAACCACCTCTCGGACCAAATAATAGGAACCTACCCCAGTAGTATGATTATTTACAAAAGGTAATATCTATTACTGTGAATATTAATATATTTCCAATGTAAAAATACTAGTTTCTTCACATCTCATAAATAGAAGAGTGAATGACCTCTTAGTGTGCCCATTCTCTCACAACCTTTACAGATGTGACCAGTAGTTAATAATCAAACAAGTTCTTTTGCAGAATCAATACAATTTGCCTAGTGTTTAAGAAAGAAAATAATTTTAACCAGACATTTTTAATAAAGCAAATGTTATAATGTAATAAGAACACTATAAGAAATACTGTAAACATTTTGTAAAATGTTTTTTTAAGATTTTTATTTGTAAATCTTTTTCTTTATATGTTTTTATTGATTTTTAGAGAGAGAGGAAGGGAGAGGAAGAGATAGATACATTGATTGGCTGCCTCCTGCACACCCTCTACCAGGGATCAAACGCACAACCTGGGCATGTGCCCTGACCGGGAATAAAACCAATGACCTTTTGGTGCATGGGTCAGTGCTCAACCACTGAGCCATACAGGCCAGGCCTATATTTATAAATCTTTAACATTTTGTTTTGAATCTAAAACTAAATAGTTTATATTTCATGTTTTCTTATTAGATCTTGAAATAAAATGTCTTAAAATGTAGGATAAAAGTTTGTCACATTATTCAAGATATCCTATTTGCAGAGACATACTAAGATTGGCTAATTTTCTTACTTGCTTTTCTTTTCAGTTTATGCCAGTTATTCAAACAGAAAGTGAACACAAACCTCCTGTGAATGGAAGTTACTTTGCCTATATTAACCCTGAAGATGGAGGGTGCTTACTAGAGAAATACAGTGAGAAATATCATGATTTTGGGTGTGCACTACTGGCTAATCTTTTTGCCAGTGAGGGCCAACCTGGAAAGGTGATTTTGTCCATAAAAACACAATGTTCTTCAGAAGTTCTCAGCTAAAAATCTGAACTTTTATTGTCACAAGTATGGTTATCTAAAGAAAATCTAAGTGTCTAAGTCAAAGCTCTTTAAATAACCCAGTTTGGAAGATTCAGAGTACTACATTACAGGTAGAATGAAACTCTCATTTAAAACTGAGGTTAAGAATAATATTTAGTAAACAATACTCTTTTTTTCTGAGGGACTAAAAGATATCGGGATATTTATATGGAGAGTGAGTGAGTTGAATAGATAATGTCTACCTATAACTAGAATATATGCAGTTTGTTCATTCCTGACTCATCAGACATTGATTGAACTAGATAGAAATGATGGTAGTAAAAACATTGTAGTAAGAAGGAGGTAAGGAAAATTAATGCCTGACTTTAGGTTTACTTCCTGTTAGTACACAAAAAGATGGTTTCAATTTAAGCAGTGGTGAAAACTCTTAGATTTTATAAATACAGATAGCTACTTCAGTTACTTTGAGAAATGAAGTAGTGAAATAAAAATAATGAATAAAGGGAAGGTAACCTAAGTCCAGAATTTTAAAGGAAGTGAGAAAATGTAATCATTTTCCCTTCCCCTGTAATCAAATATTCCAATTATAGAAGATTCAGAAAGTACGATAGGCAGAGTGAAAGTCTCATTTCAAACTGAAGTTAAGGGTAATACGTAGTAAGCAATACCCTTTCACCCAGGGAATTCTCAACCTTTGACTACCTTGACATATAGTGATAAGAATCTCGAGTTCAGTGTAGGATTTAGTTTTAACTCTTTCTCAGTCCAAGAAAGCATGAATACGAATTATTAGAGTAAATGATCCATAACACATATATTATATATATTATGTATTATTAAGATTTACAAAGGATTGATATACCCCAACTCATATTTGGGTGCTCTAAGCAAAAAAAGCGAGTATTTGCTTGATGGCATTAGACTGTATAATGTTTCACTTTGGTAGATATTTACATAAAATTTTGCACCCTAGAACAATGGTACGAATGTTTTGTCCTCTCTAGGTCATTGAGGTGAAAGCCAAAAGAAGAACTGGAAAACTTAATTTTGTGACTTGTATGAGACAGACTCTTGAAAAACATTATGGTGATAAGCCTGTAGGGATGGGAGGTACTTTCGTAATTCAGAAGGGAAAAGTGAAGACTCACATTATGGTAAGGGTCTGAGGGGTGTGAATGAATGCATTTGTGGGTATGTGTGTGTTCACATAAGATCTTAAGGATTTTTTTTAATGCACATTGAGAAGTCTACCTTTAAAGACATCCTGAATAAATCCTTCTACTAGATTATATTACTTTAAAATTTTAAAAGACAAACGATACTATAGGTCATAATGTGCGATGATGTCTAGCTCGAGTCCTTTTTTTCATGTTAATATATTAGAACTTTCGTTTCAGTGTCTTGGTTTTTAAGATCAAGATAGGTATGTGTGTAAGCCTGAGAAACTTATTATTTTCATTTCAATACATAGACTTTGCTATTACGGTTTTAGGAAAATAACTCATCATGAAAATTACAATCTATGGTCTTAATATAGTAAGTTTAGAAGATAATAAGTGTGGAATACTATAGAGAGACAGATCAAGGGCCTTCAGGACTTTTAAAATAATTTTTGGTAGGTGAATGAATCAATGAATGAAGTGTAAAAGTGATTACAATTTAATTTCTTTTTTATTTTATCAGTAAAGCCATTAGAAAATGTATTGTTTTAATGTTTTTTATCATGTTAATTTTAAATGGCATGCTAGGTGATCCTGCAAAGAAAGACACATTTGTGAAATGACTTAATCACTTTTCCAAATTATTTACAGCAGAATTATAGATAAGTATGTTTGTAAATACCAAATGATTATAAGATATCACCATCATTATGGAAAACAGTATGGAGGTTCCTCAAAAAATTCAATTAAATAGAACTATCATATAATGGAGCAGTTCTATTTCTGGATATATATATTGATAGGAAATGAACTCAGTATCTTGAAGAGAGATATGCACTATGTTCACTTCAGCATTATTCACAATAGCCAAGTTATGAAAACAACATATACATACATGAAATCCTGCCTTTTGCAATACTGTGGATGAACTTGCAAGACATTATACTAAGTGAAATAAACCAGACACAGAAAGACAAATGTTGCATGATATCACCTGTATGTAGAATCTAAAACAGTCAAAATTAGAGAAACAGAGAGTAGAATGGTGATTGTCAGGGATTTGGGAGTGATGATAGCAGGAAGTGGGGAGATGTTGGTAAAAGGGTACAAACTTTCAGTTATAAAATGCGTAAGTTCTAGAAAACTAATGTACATCATAGTAAATATAGTTAATAACAACGTATTGTGTACTATAGGATGACATGTAAGATTAGTATGAGGATATACTCACAGGAAAACTGAGAGGCTATGAAAAAAATAGAGTAATAGACTCATTCCTTCATTTATTCGTTCATACATTTTAATGTGTACACATTGATTGGTGATCATTTTGTGGGGTTTTTTTGTGTGTTTTTTTTTAATTTAATTAATTTATTTTTGTTATAGATGTTTCTCCTTTTCCCCCCATTGATTCCCCCACCTCCTCCCTCCCATGGTGATCCTTTTGAAAATAATGTGTATTATAACTTCTTTTGATGCCAAAAATAGTCAATAGAATGTATAAGAAGGCTTAAAGTTTTAACTTAATATAAAATTTTAATTCTCAATAATATTCAATATGTTTACCTGTCTAATAATGATCTTTTATTGTAGCCTACAGAATTTTCTTCCTGCCCATTGAACTCTGATGAAGAGGTGAATAAATGGTTGCATTTTTATGAGATGAAGGCTCCTTTGATTTGCCTGCCAGTTTTTGTCTCCAAAGACCCAGTAAGTCTTTGTCTGCCTTTAATATTGCAGTATACCACAATGGTAATTCTCAAGTTTTAGGATTTTCTTTTCTTTTTTTTTGAATTAGACATTTTTTGTGTTGTTATTTAAGAAGTAGGATAGTTTCTGGAATTATCTTGAAAGATAAGGGAGCAGGTGGCTAACAGCCCTGAGTTAGAGCAGATTTTACCTTTGAGGAAGGCATGGCCTTTTAAATAATACCCAAAGTCATGTTATTAAATAGAATCACAACAGGATTTATTTTATTTGCAGTTTATTATATTCTAATACTATACACTAGGAAAAATATTATAATATAGAGCAATTCAAAACAAATATCTACCAAAATACTAGCTAGTGATATCTTTTGATGTAGTGGTTACATGTCTAGGAATTTATCCTTAAATATTTGCATAAGTGTGTAAAATGATTAGTTAAAAGGTTATTCATGACAGAATTGCTGTTACAGCAGAACAATTGGAAATAATCTAAACATCAGTTGGAAAGCAGTATGTACATACAATGGAATACCATGTAGGTGCAGAATAAGGAAGCTCTTTTATGATCTGATATACAAAGATCTTAAAGCTGTATTGTTAAATGAAGAAAAACAATGTGTACACAGTGCTATCATTTGAGTAAAAAAAATAAATCTTTCCGGAAGGATATGGAAGAAACTGCTTACATTAGTTGCCTACAAAGAAAGGAAGTGAGTGGTGAGGGCAAGAATTGGAAAGATATTTTACTGAATATATCCTTTTGCATCCTTTAAATTTTGAATCATATGAATGTATTACCTAAACAATAAAATAAAAACTGCCATAACATTAAATAAAAAAGGTCTCCCTCTCCCTTAAATAAATTCTGTCCACAATAATTTGAATATTAACAGATAGCTTGTCTGTTGTCCTAGGGCTTTGATTTGCGGTTGGAGCACACACACTGCTTTAGTCATCATGGAGAAGGCGGACACTACCATTATGACACTAGCCCAGATATAGTAGAGTATCTTGGCTACTTCTTACCTGCAGAGTTTCTCTATCGCATTGATCAACCAAAAGAGACCCATTCATTTGGGCGAGATTAAATCAACTGCTACTTCATTTAGAAAAATGATTATGTGAATTGATACAAACATCAAATCCAAATGATCTCACTACTTAAACTCTATATTTTTGACCTTTGAAATGAAAGGTATTATTACGCTGTTATTTCATAGATCTGTCTGAAAAAGCTTGTTGGGAAAAAAGATACATAATGGAGACGTTCTTCATTATTCTTTTATTCTAAAAATCAGTCTTATATTTATACCTTAAATATAAACACGACCTGGAATCATGTGATTGGTATTTTTACATAACTTACATTTGTAACTTATGTAAAATATTACAAATAGTAATTACTTATATTTGTTTAAATTATTAAAAATTTTCGAATTAGTCTCAAAACTGCTAATTGATATTAGAAAAATCAGTGTTAGAAAAAATGTTTTAAGATTCTTTTCTTTTTTTAATCCTCACCCGAGGACATTTTTTCATTTTTTTTGTTCAGAAAGAGTAGGAGGGAGAGAGAGGAAGAGAGAGAGAGAGAAACATCAACGTGAAAGGGACACATTGAGTGGCTGCCACCCGCACGACCAACCAGGGCCGGGGACAAACTGCAACCGAGTTACGCGTCCTTAGCGGGAACTGAACCCAGGTCTCTCTGGAGCGCAGACCAACACTCTAACCACTGAGCCAAACTGGCCAGGGCTGTTTTAAGATTTTTAAATTGATTTTTAGAGAGAGGAAAAGAGAAGAGAGAGAGACATCAATGCATTGATTGGCTGCCTCCTGCACAGTCCAGGATCGAGACCGAAACCCGGGCATATGCCCTGACTGGGAAGCAAACCAGCAGCCTTCTGGTGCACCGGACAGTGCCCAACCAACTGAGCCACACCAGCCAGGGCCAGTGTTGGAAATTTTGGTAGTTGTTGAATCTTCGTATTGAATTTTAAAAATCCATTTTAGAAGTCAGAGTACACTTTTCTCATGGAATAAGGTGGTCAGATGGAGGAACTTGACCCCTTTTGGTGAAGTTCAACCATACTCAGAGTTTGCAGTTTGCCTTTCACAAACATTAGCAGCTAGATGGTTAGCACTGATTCCTCCTTTGTTTGGATTGCCACCTGGAAGCAGTTTGTGCTTTGTTGGTTATTTGCAAGAAGAGAAGGGAAAAGAAACCATAAAAATATAACATTAAAGTGAGTATATTTTAATTTATAAGTGAGGCGATTGCTAAACACGATCACTATCCTTCATGAAATATAAAATTATACTCTTACTGATTATAATGGTTGAAATTTCTTCTGTGTACTTCTATGATCATTAGCCAGAAATTAACTCTCTAATCTCATTAATACCAGTAATGTGCAGATATAGGAGCTCTTCAGTGCTAAGCACATAATACATCTTCAAGAAATATTTTTGACTTCTTTTGATGTATGCTGTAACATGTCCTTTGAGTATAAATTACCAAATATTATTTTTAAATAAGCACTAGTTTGTAACAGAAAAATGAATAAAAATTTTACATTCATAATATGATATTGTGTTTCGTTTTAATATTCTACCTCCAGACAAAAATATTAGTATTCATTCATTCAACAGATATGTATTGAACACCTACTCTGCCCTCTGGAATGTAACCCTGTGAGGGCAAGGGCTTTGATCACTCTGTCGCACTAGTGCCTTTAACAGAGCCTGGCCAAAGTAGGCATAAAGTAAATATTGGTTGAATGAATGAATGGGTGGATGGTTATGCCAGACACTTCACTAGATGCTGGGATCTATCATCCAATCATTTATATACTAGAGAAGACAAATAATAAGCAAGTATATAATATGTCAGATTGTATTAAATGCTATGAAGAAAACTAAAACTAAAGGTGGATGCTATTTTGTTGTGGCCATTCTACACTGAGACAGAATGCACTCCCCACCCAAAATTTGGCTTAGATGAAGTCTCACGCACACACGGATATGAAAGGGTTTACTGTTTGCATAATGAGGCTTTCTGGGGAAAGCAGGGCCACTCCCAAGCAAGTTCAGAAATGGCCTGAGAGAACAGGGAAAGGAAACTGGCTTGGGGGATTTTATGCTGATTAATGGGGAGAGCCAGAGTGATGGTTTTGCATGGAGTTTGAATTTTCCACAGGTGTCCAAGGAAAAAGTACCCACACACCCAAATTCAGAGCAGAAAGGGTAAGACTTAATAACTATCAGCAGTCAAACATCAAAAATGGAATCCGACTCTGTATTACACATTTTATAGAGAGAGATCAGGGAAAGCCTTTGATAGGGACATTTGAGCAAAGACCTAAAAGAAATGAGAGAGTGAGCCATGAAGTTATTTGGAAAAACATCCTTCTTGGCAGATTCAAAACCCCAGAAGCAGAAAGGAACTTGGAATGTTCAAGAAACAGCAAGGAGGCCACTGTGAACACAATAAGATTCTCTGAATATATATATATTCACAAAAATATGTTAATGAGATATGCACTTTAAAATTAGGAATGTACAAGGACGTACAATATCATTAACCACTGGAGTTTCTTTCTTCTTTTTTTTTTTTTTATGGGCCTTGCGGTGAAAACTGGAAGACCTACTAGACAAATTCAAAAAGAGCTGTAAGCACTTAACCACCGGAGTTTCAACCAGGAAAAAGGACAGGAAAGAAATACTAGGAGTAATTAATGAAAAGGAAGAAAAAAATAAGTTTTTTAGCAGAAAACCATGATTGCCCTCTTAGAAAACCATACAGAATCTATAGTGAAATTATTAAACTAAGTTCAAAAGGTTCCTAAATATAAAATCAATATACAGTGGGTTGTATTTCTACATACTAACAAGAAACAATTAAAAATGTAAATGTGAAAAAATATCAATTACAAAGCTATCAAAAATACATAATTTTTTATTTAACAAAAATTATATATAACCTTTATGGATAAAATCATAAAACTGTTGAAAACTTAAAAGAAATACCAAAAAATAGTTATAACCAGGAAGATGTAATCTCATAAAAGTATCGATTCTTCTCAAAACTATAAATTCAACTCAGTGCCAATCTAATCCCAGTAGAGCTTTCCACAGAACCTCACCAGTTGATTCTAAAATATATGAGATAGCAAAGGGCCAAGAAAAGCGAAGACAATTTTCAAGACAACTAGGTCAGAGGTATTTGATGTAAAGATATTAAAATGTATTACGACTGCAATTTTGGCACAGTCAGACAAACAGAACAGAAAACCAAGGCCAGAAACATATCCTCACATATGTAGATTCTTGGTTTTTTCTTTTGTTGGTTTTTTTTTTTTGACAAGTGGCATTACAGATCAATAAGGAAAGGAAAATATATTCAAATAGTGCTGCCAAAACCAGTTATTAATATGGAAAAATAAAATTGGATTGGACTCAATACTAGGTAAATTAAGGACTTAAATGTGAAGATTAAACATTTTCAAGTTTTAGAAGTAAAAGAGCTATCTTTATGACTTAGGTGTATAGAAGGATTTCCTAAGGAACATAAAGCACAAACTATTAGAGAAAAGAGAGATAAATCTTATTTGACAACATTAAAATGTAAAACCTATATGTCAAACTATGGCTCAAAAAGGAAGAAAGCAGACCATAGTCTGGGAGAATATATTTTCAAGACATAGTTGATGAAATTCAGCTTGTATTCAGAATGCACTAAGAACATCTCCAATAAGGAAAAGACAAACACCCAATAGAAAAATAAGGAGGACCTGGCATTTGGGAGAAAAGAAAAAATCAATGGCCAGTGTTACATGTTAAGATTTCTATTTCCAGTAATAGATTAGACAATTCAGACAAATCATCTCACTAAAGGCAATTTTAAAAGCTGGAAAAATATAAAAGTGCCTTCTTTTTTTTATCCTCACCCGAGGACATTTTCCCATTTTTTTGCTCAGGTAGAGTGGGAGAGAGAGAGAGGAACAGAGAGAGAGAGAAACATCGATGCGAAAGGAACACATCGAGTGGCTGCCACCCGCACGACCGACCAGGGCCGGGGACAAACTGTAACCGAGGTACGCGCCCTTAGCGGGAACCGAACCCGGGTCTCTCAGGACCGCAGGTCGACGCTCTAACCGCTGAGCCAAACTGGCCAGGGCTAAAAGTGCCTTCTTGAAGGTACTAGTGAATTAACAAGATGGTGAAGGACTACTTGGCCAATCAGTGTTGGAGAGAATGGAAGCTCAGTGTAGGTCAGCCAACCCCCAGGAACCATTGATGCGTCATGCTTTCTATGCCTGATTGCTGTTTTAAACCTGTGACTTTTGGGGTGTTCTATTTCACAACAATAGGTGACTAATTTAAAAAGAAACACATGGCACCCTGACTGGATTTGCTCAGTGAGTTGGAAGGTCATCTTAGTACACCAAGGCCGTGGGTTCGATCCCTGGTCAGGGCACATACAAGAATCAACCAATGAGCCCTGGCCGGTTTGGCTCAGCGGTTGGAGCGTCGGCCTGCGGTCCCGGGAGAGACCCGGGTTCGGTTCCCGCTAAGGGCACGTGCTTCGGTTGCAGTTTGTCCCCGGCCCTGGTTGGTCGTGCGGGTGGCAGCCACTCGATGTGTCCCTTCACGTCGATGTTTTTCTCTCTCTCTCCCTTTCTCTCTCTCCCTCCCTCTCTATCTGTACAAAAAATGGAAAAATATCCTCGGGTGAGGATAAAAAAAAAAAAAAAAAAAGAATCAACCAATGAATACATAAATAAATGGAACAACAAATTGTATTAAAAAACAAACAAACAAACATGGAATGGATAAGTCCTGGTTATTTCTAGGAGGGCCCCGGGAGATGTGAACTAGGAAGAGTACAAAGCAGCTTTAACTATCAGCAATGCTTTATTTCCTAAGTTGAGTGTGAATACACAGATGTTTATTGTTGCCCTTTTTTTTTTATCCTCACTCGAGGACATTTTTCCATTTTTTATTCAGATAGACTGGGAGGGAGAGAGAGACAGAGAAACATGGAGGTAAAAGGGACACATCGAGTGGTCCCACCCACACGACCCAACCAGGGCCGGGGACAAACTGCAACCGAGGTACCGAGGTACATGCCCTTAGCGGGAACCGAACCCGGGTCTCTCTGAACCACAGGCTGATGCTCTAACCGCTGAGCCAAACCGGCCAGGGCTGTTGCCTTCTTTTTAACTTAAATATAAGTTTAGCCCTGGCCAGAGTGACTCATTTGGTTGAGCGTCCTCCCAAGCAACAAAAGCCCCAGGGCCACTTCCCCCGACGAGAGAGTGTGAATACCGCCTTTACCCTTCCACTTCTCCCTCCAAAGTGGGGTGCCCGAACCACAGCAAGCGCACAAGACATTCCAAGGGGTTCAGGAATATCAGAATGTCTGTCTTCATATTTTATTTCATCCTTTTTAATTTCTATTTTGGCATACATTTCTTAAAATACATCACATTAGGGATGTCAGCTAAAATACTTTTTGCTGACAGATGCAAGTTCAAAATGCTTCAAGACCAGATACATTTACATTGTCTTTCCAAACCTCAGACGAGAATACAGTCTGACAGACAGAAGGGGAATTATGTGACTACAATGATCCGATATTAAAAACGGAATTTTCCACAGAAAATCTCGCATAATCACTGGTCATATCTATGGATGCTGTCTGTTCCTGGAACTCCTCCCTATCTCTGCCCCCTTTCTCTTAGTACATCCTGCGAGTCTGAAACATTCTGTTTTTCTGAAGTGTGTTAACCACAGCAAAGAAGACTGACTTCTGTAAGTTTAGAGTAATGCTCAGGATTCGTTGGATTAGCAAACCTAGTATTTGCCACTACAGTAGACATCTGAAAGCAGACTCCCATTTGCTTCTGGTTTTAGAGCCCAGTTTCCTTCTAGGTCATCTGTGAAGCCTCTGTTTGGCCTGTTCTATCATTTAACAGCAATTTACTGAACATCATCAATGTGCCAGGCACTGTGAATATACAAAGATGAATAAGACATGGTCCCTGCCCCAGCAGAGCTCAGTCTAGTGGGGACACTGGCTGACATATGAACAATAATTAAAACAAAATAGGGTAAGTCCTATTAGTATTATCCTATAAGGTACTGGACATTAAAGGAACCTGCCTATCACAAACACAAAAATAAACGGAAAAGAACACATGAGCTTCTAGTACTGGTCAAGATGTAATAAGCCAACAACAGTCTATTTCTACCACAATTACAAAACACACCACTTTGCACAAAATGCAAAAACAACTCTCAGAACACTCTTGAAAATTCAACCATAGCAGGCAGGCTAAAGAGGGAAATCAGAACGTGAAGAATGAATGACAAGTCTCTTCATTTTTCTTTCTTCTTTTTATCTCCTGAATTTGACCTGGAGTAGCCTAGGTCACACTATACAACCAGCATGGACAGTAAAAACTCCCAAGAGACAGTCCTTACTGGCTGGAGAACCAGGAAAGGGAGCCCCAGCAAGTCACGGTGTGACAGTCTCTATTTTTTTCCTGTTTTCTCTCAGCCATGCCCAAAGGATATACACCTATAACACCAAGAGAAAGCACAGAAAATGATTCCAGAGGAATCAGGAAAGGGGCCTCTTATGGTCCTATTTTTCTCTTTTCCTTTGGCATTTCATCTGGAGGCCTGCCCCAGCTGTGGACTGCATTGCAGCGTGGGGTGTAAGGGGCTAAACAAAAACTGGGATTTCTGGCCAGAGGAAGCAGGAAAAGGAGTGTATTTATAGTATTCCTTTATTAGCTTTTGAATGTCTGTACGAATTTTGAATGGGTGTCCCAACTTATCTTCCACTGTTCTGTTCTTTGTTTCTCTATTTTTCTATTGGCCAGTCTTTTGAGTTCACCGATCCTATTTTGTGCTATGTCAAATCTCTTAGTAAATCTATCCTATGGGTTATTAATTTCAGCTTTTTTTAGTCTAGAATATACATTTAATTATTTTTTATAGATTGAAATTTTGTTTTCATCCATTTTCCTCTATTTCCTTCAACACATTAATTATGTTAATTTTTTCTTTGATTTAGAAAGATAGAAACATTGATGAGAGAACATCGATTGGCCACCTCCTACATGTCCCACAACCTGGGCATGCGCCCTGACTGGGAATTGAACCAGCAACCTCTTGGTGTACAGGTCGACACTCAACCAGAGCCACACCAGCCGGGCCACATTAGTTATTTTAAAGCCCTTGTCTCCCACCTGCAGTGGTTTGATCTTTCATTAATGTGTTCCTATTGTTTTTGCTTCTGATTATCACTCTTCCTGCCTCTTTACATATCTACTATTATATGCTATATATTATGTGTTCTAGATAATATCGTCCACCCTTCTTTTGTTAGATGAGAGCCTAATTACTGTACTTCAACTTAATCAGAGATTGAGCTGGGTAGGGGTTGGATTGCATTGTAAATTTAATTAAGGCTCAGGCCACCTCTGCTTAGAGCCTTTGTGTTATTCCATGTGTCTCTTCTGAGGTTTTGGAGCCTGGCAGATCTGTCTCCTCAGCCCTAAAAATGGTAGGGAGCTCATTTCTTTCCTTTGGAGGATATGGGCTCCATGAAGCCTCAAATCTGACAAATATTTTCATGGAATACTTCCTGCTAAGCAGGACTTGGTCTTGTCAGCAGCGCTGGTGATCAGCAAGATCAGGTTCTTGCCTCTCAGAGGAAAGAATTCAACACGAGAGATGGAAAATTGCAGTAAGAGGCAGTTTTATTGAAAGTAAAAGTACATCTGAGGGACAGACAGGCAGCTCAAGTGAGGTCCCAGTGCCCTGAATGGGCCTAGTTCCTGGTTTTTTATTCTTGCCCCTCCCTTGTTCCGTCTTATTGTACCATTTGTCCCTTAGCTGATGGGCATTCTGGAATTTTGTCTGCAGGTGTTTTGCAACATTTGCCCTCTTGGTGCCGAGTCCTTTAGCCACATTCCTCCTTCTTGCTTTATCTAACTTTGCAAAGTTTTTAGCTCCCCTCCATTTATTCAAGCATGGTCTTTGTTCAGTTTGTCTTATCTCTGCCCTGCTCATATCTAACTGCCTACTCTAACATTCCCCCCATCAAGAGTTTGACACCCAATTTGTTGGGGGATTCTGGACGTAGACAATCATCTGGCTACTTCCTGCTGACAACTGGGCGAAGGTGGGGATTGGGTCTCATTCTCTTGCTATGTGTCAGGGCAAAGGGTAGTTTTCTCAGAGTCGTTGGCCAGCTCAATCAAGAGGTCGAGCTATTTCTGTGGTGGAAAGGAAGGGTTGAAAACCATAATGAACCATTATCTGGAGGTAGAATAGCTGTCATCTGGAAGAAACAAATTTCACAAGTAGGTTAAACAAACAGGGACCAAATAGTAGTATTCCTAATATGATGAGGAGATGGATTTTAAGGGGTCCGAGGAGAAACCATAATCACTTTTGTCAATTCTAAGCAAGTGAGGTTGCCATACTGGGCAAAAGTTGGGTTTCTTTTAGGTTCTTTAGCCAGGTCATGTGGTGGTTAAAATCTCTTGTATTCTTGTTTCTACTTTAGCGGAGTTATTGATGTAGGTGCAGCATGTAGTATTTTGAACAGTGCAGACTCCTCCTTTTGCAGCCGAAAGATAGTCCAGGGCAATACGACTGTCTAAGAGTGGATTGGTTAATACGTTGAGGGACTGTTGTGGTTCACGGAGAGCTCCCCTTGTTTCATTTGAGAGCTTTTCTAATTCAGCAGTGAGATTAGCAAGGATGAATTCATGTTCTATGTATCCTGCCCAAGGGACAAGGGAAGTCAAGTTCTTCCCTCCCCAAGTTAAGGTGTTGTTTAGGAGTCTTCTGTTATGCCAGGAAGGTGTTGTTGCATTGTAAATGGCCAGGCTAGGAGTTAGGTATCCTAAGGTGCACATCCCATAAATGAGATAGGGATTTAGGCATGAAGTGGCCATGTATCCAGTGGGGGTGGTGTGTACTGGACCAATGCCTGCTGTGCTATTCGTGGAATATGCACATATGTAAACCATTCCCTCAGGAGCACAGATTGTGTTGGAGGTGCTAGTTAAAACCATAGGAACAATGGTGTTACACGAGGAAATATTCGCAGGCCACCATGTGGAATAATACAAGGCTCTAAGTTTACATAGAGCAGTCTTAGTTTCATTGCAGACAGGAAACTCTTTTCCTGGACGAGCAGGCTTATGTTTAGATGTCGCGGTGTATAGGCAGGTAGATGGAGAGGTGGTTATGTTAATCAGAGTGAAAAGGGTAGCATATGTACTTGGTTTGGCAATATATGCTAGCTCTGAGCGCCAGGTCTCATTACCAAATTTGTTCTCTGGCTTAGCTAAATATTGTGTGGGGCCTATAGCTTGTGGGAACTTGTGACAGACCCAGCAATTAGTGACGTTCCCCGATGCTATAGCCTTAGTAATCTTAATAAGTGAGTTCTGGTCCCATGGTTGTGGTTCTGGTTTTAGAAGGCCTAGTCCTAAAGGGACTTGGGAAGCCAGGAATAGGACTAGAAGGAAATTATTCATTGTGTAAGCTGTAGAAAAGATCTAAGCAAGCCTCTAATGGAGTGCTGGGTGGTGCATAAGTAGGCGAGGAGAAGAGTTAAAGGACTACTGATCTAATAAAGAGTAATTCTGAGAAGGGTTTTCATGGGGAGGAGGGAGGAATTGTAAGACAGCAGAGGAGTCGAAGGCCAAACCAAAAAATATGAAATTTATAAATAACAAAAACTGAGAAATAAACTTATCTGGGTGTTGTCATTTTCTTGAGGAGACACCTAAGATCTTCTTTGGTTTGTAGTCCCATGTATTGCTCGATTCCTTAGGTTCAAGTGGGTTAGTAGAGTTGCAAAAAGGCTTTAGTCGTGTGTGATGATCCAACTCGAGATGCCAGTGGCCTTGACTGCTGTGGAAGCAGAGAACAGGACAGTAAAAGACCCTTTCCTTAAAGGTGTTAACTGGGATCCTGGAGTTCCTTCTTTCCAGGTTTTAATGTATACTTGTGATCCTGGTAGATATAAATATCAGGAGGTAGTCTGTCCGGCTCCTGGAGTTCTTCTATATCCAAAGACTTGTATTGCTCGTTGGAACTCAGCTAGAGAAGTGACATATGATAGGAGATCAGTAGATTCAGGGTCCATTATAAGATCAGAGTATAGAAACCGTTGCCCATATGATGATTCAAAGGGGCTTAATTGTAGTTGTGTTGTGGGGCAGCTCGAATTCAGAGGATGGCTATATGTAGTAGATCTAACCATTTAAGGGCAGTTTCTTAGCAAAGTTTGCCAAGGGTTTTCTTTCTTATTTGATTTGCCCTTTTGACCTTTCTGGAGGACTGTGGCCTCTAAGCAGAGTCAAGGTGCCATTTTATTCCCAGGCCTTTGCTAACTAATTGTGTGGCCTGAAAAGTAAACGCAGGTCCATTATCACTTTGTAGGGATTGAGGGATCCAAATCAAGGAATAATTTCTTTTAAGAGTATTTTTGCTACCTCCTGTGCTTTTTCAGTACTGGTGGGATAGGCCTCAATCTACCCAGTGAAAGAATCTAAGAAGACAAGTAGGTATTTATAGCCTTGACATAGTAGTTGAGTAAAATCTATTTGCCAATCTTCTCCTGGATAGGTGCCCCTTCTCTGTATAGGTTGGACTAGTGTAGGTGGAGATTAGATCCTTGGGGATTATTTTGGGCACCTAGTGCACAAGCCTGGCAGACCTGCCAAATTGTTTTAAGCCCTTACTTGTGAAAAGTTTTTTCTTTTTTTTTTTTTTTTTTTTTTTTTTTTAACCACACCCGAGGACATTTTTCCATTTTTTTGTACAGATAGAGTGGGAGGGAGAGAGAGAGAGAGGGAAACATCGATGTGAAGGGACACATCGAGTGGCTGCCACCCGCACGACCAACCAGGGCCGGGGACAAACTGCAACCGAGGTACATGCCCTTAGCGGGAACCGAACCCGGGTCTCTCCGGACCGCAGGCGGACGCTCTAACTGCTGAGCCAAACCGGCCAGGGCAAAAGTTTTTTCATAATAGGACCATATTATTTCTCTCTAGGGGACAAGAGTCATGGAGGGCTTTTATGATTTTCCACTGTGAAGCGGAGGGGACATGAAAGAGTCCTTCTGATTGGAACCATCCTGTTGGTCCCTTGATGTACCCGTGTTGGGTTATCCATTGTATTTATTTTTTAGTACATTTAGGTATTGCCAATTCTGTAGGTAATGATGGAATTAATGCTCCTAAGAATATATCCTTAGAGGTGGCGGCTGCTTTTGCAGCTCTATCAGGTTTTTCTTTTTTTTTTTTTCCTTTAGTTATTTCATCTTGACCTCTTTGGTGTCCCCTGCAGTGCATAACTGCTCTTTCAGTAAATGAACTGCCTGTAAAAGTCGCATGTATCTGAGTCTACAGAAGACTTCACTCTTATTTTATACTTAGATCTGGAATTTATTTTTATTTTGGTATGAAATAGGGGAGTGTAACTAGGTTATTTTGCATATACGTCAGATTGTTAGCCCTGCTCCTCCCTTCATCCATACCCCTTTCCATGTTATCCTGCAGTTTCTGCAAGTCAGAAAGTTGAGTCTATCCCCTCTCCAAACCCTTGACTTTTGAGTTCGGCTGTGGGACTTATGGATATTAGATATGTAATGCAGGCAAGGCTTACCTCTTGTACTACTGCCTACTGCCATTGCCATAAAAAGAATATTCCCTGACCAACCTGCTAGTACAAGAAGAATGAGAGACACATGGTCATCTGAATGACCTATAGGCCTGTAACTTGAAGTCAATCAGCCAGCTGAGCCCAATTTAGGTCATCTGCCCTCAAGTATGTAAAAAAGCCCATCTGAGATTGCAGATACCTCAGCCAAACTGCAGAAGTATGAGCACTTTATAAAGATGAAATGAGAAATATGTTTAAAACACCGAGCACAGTAACTGACACAACTAGGGCCCATGAAAAATATTAAATTTAAAATAAAGTATTAAAACTTTTTACAAATTTTGGCATAATAAGTAAGTACAGTGGCTCTTAAATATCATCATGCTTGCAAAAATAGGTGACTATGAAAAATTCACACACACCCCAACACACCCTGCTACATATATTCTGTTTCAGTAGAGACTGACACCAGGGCATCTTTATTTTCCTAAATACCTTTGGCAAGTAGTTTATCTTGGTCAGAACAAAACTTAGAAAAATTCAAAGATTGTACACATACTTTCTTAAATTAAGTAGAGTTTTGTAAGACAAATAATCTATCTTCCCTAGTGGAATTATTACTAATGAAATACTTTTTTGGGTACTCAGAGACTGAAGTTATACCACTGCCTCTTAATCTTATAAGTATTACTTATTCTCAGTTACTCAGGCATAAAATAAATATTTATTAAGTGCACATTACATGCCAGTGTCTATTATGCTTGCTGGAGATAGTCATGGAATTTACAACTAACGGGAAAGCAGAGAATAAATTAATTATGAAGTATAATTTTAATCAGTAATAAGCACAATTAATTGGTTTCCTCAAAGTACGCCTACTTTGTAACTCTTCAGACACGTTTCTACTCTAGGTGTAAACCCTCAAATCCTCAGTATGCCAGAGGTCTCGCACTAAGACGCAGAAACCCATTCATTTTTTCCCTACCTCTTTTCGGCCTCCTTCAGCTTTCCATCCTCCACGACCTTTAAACAAGTAATTAAAATGCAGACGAACACCAGAGATCACCCTCTCTGCACCCTTTGCACCGGGATTCTCAGCTCCCGCCGCGGTCCACGCCGGCAGCAGACATGTGTTTCTCCCGCCACTGCAAGCCAACTCACCGGAAGTTCTTGCCCGGAAGTTCTTAGCGCCCGCTCCTAGTCAATTTCGCTCTGGGAGCCTCCGAGCAGAGAGCGTCCTGCAGTGCATTCTGGGAAACTGGCTGTGCCCTCAGCTTTGTTTCCGGCCTAGGAGCTGCGCGGGGTTTCCCGAAGGCTCGCAGAGGCACCGCGGTTGCCAAGATCGCGGCTCCCCGCCGAGGCGCTTCTGCTTCCTCTCTCGGGTTTTGGCTCGTACCAGCGGGGTCCTGCTGCCGCTTGCCCACGCCGCCAGCATGTCTGGGGTCCGCGCTGTGCGGATCAGCATCGAGTCGGCCTGCGAAAAGCAGGTCCAAGAGGTGGGCCTGGATGGCACTGAGACGTACCTGCAGCCGCTGTCCATGTCCCAGAACCTGGCGCGCCTGGCACAGCGGATCGACTTCAGCCAGGGTTCGGGCTCCGAGGAGGAGGAGGCGGCGGGGGCCGAGGGCGACGCGCAGGACTGGGCGGGCGCCGGGACCAGCGCGGACCAGGACGACGAAGAAGGTGAGGCCGGTCCGGGGGTCCTGGGACCCGCCGGGAAATGTCACCCTGCCTTTTCTGTGCTAGGCGAGATGCTGTGTCTTTTTAAATAAAATAGCTGGACAATTTAGGGCACTGTTTGACTCAGTACTCCGTATCTTTCTGCAGGTTTCCTTGAGTGGGAGCGTTGGAGACACTGCTACTGGGGAAGTGTGTGTGTTTCTAAGAGAGCTTTTGTCTCGTGGCACTCTGGTTACCTGGCTTTCAGCTGTGTGAGCTTGAGCGAGTTACTTTGTTTCTCTGTGCAGTGTGAATGTTGACAATAACACCTAGTCAAAGAAGTCTGTATTGACTGGAGTTTGAGATAAGGTTTAAGAGGTAGGCGGCGTGGCCCTGGCCGGTTTGGCTCGGCCGTAAGAGCTTCTGTCCGCGGACCAATGAGTCGCGGGTTCGATTCCGGTCCTGGGTTGCGGTTCATCCCGGCCCCGGTTCGGGTCGTTAGGGAGGCAACCAGTCGATGTGGCTCTATCACATCGATATTTCTGTCTGTCTGTCTCTCTCTGTTTCCTCCTCCCTCCCTCCCACTCTATCTGATGATAAACAAACAAAAAAAGTATCCTTGGGTGAAGAATAGTATAAAAAAATAAAATAAAAAAAAAAAAAAGAGGCGGGCAGGGTGAGCTCTCCCTCCCAAGAGCTCACTGCAGCCTTTCCTCTCCCCACCCCTCTCCGCGTCCCCGCCCCCCACCCTGCACATTACCAAGCTCCAAGGGCCCTTCCTTTACCTCTATAACCCATTTCCTTAACTCATTTCTTCTATGTATTACTTCTTCTACCTCTGTGATTTCATAAATAAATGTCCCCCCTTATAGTTTGGGGGGGGGGGGTAGGCAGGGTCCAAATCTAGTAGGCCAGGTTAAGCATTTGGCTTTTATCAGGACAACTGAAAGCTTTTGAAGGATGTTAAGTAGGTGATTTTGTTTTACAAGATTACTTAGGATGCTATGTAAAAGGTCTGAGCCAGGGGGAGTTCACATCCACAACGCAAGGCCAACGTAGAGCAAAACGATTTTATTGCATGTGCCTGGGTACAGGCAGGTTGAGCCCCAAAAAGGAGTCAGCCTCAAACAACAGTTGGGGTGTAGGTTATATACTCTGCTTCTAGCTTCCAGCAGTTCCTGTTGACTTACTTTGCATGGCCCGTTGTCCACTTTGTAGTTGGACTGGTCTGGTATCTCCACCTGCATCTGCTGGGTGATTCATTGTCTTGCGGATAATCCGGATAATTGGATAATCTGTACTCAACAGAAGGCTGAGCAAAGGTCATGCAAGCATTGCATTTTTCACAGTTTCCACCTTTTGTAAGCGTTTGCTTTTACCCTTTAAAATGTTATTAACTCTTTCACTATGTCGTAAATGGAAAACAAACCTTAAGGAGGCAGGCTAGTTGGAGAATTGTAGAAAAAGTATGAATGGTTTTGGGGTTCTCATTGTTAAGGATAAAAAATATTAACAATGATTGATTTAGTTATAAGCAGGAGGCCCTGTGTAAATTGGCATTTTAGGATGGAATTTCAAGCCAGTGGTCTTAAGACGATTGTGGGTCCATTCGGTAATCAAAAGTATCACCTCATACCTCACACAAAAATTATTTCCACAGGGACTGAAATGTAAATGAAGAGAATAAAACAAAATATTGGAGGGAAGTTACAATCATAACTTTGAGAGTAGGAGAAACCTTCTTAAGCAAGATAGGAAATGCAAATTATAAAGGAAAAGACATATATTAGTTACATAAAATTTTAAAATAATGGAAAAAGAGGCCATAAACAAAATAAAAAGGTAAGTGAAAGATTGGGGAAAATATTTGCAACATATATGGCACATAAGTGATTGATATACCTCACAGAGTCCCTTCAACCTCCAAAGGAAAAAGCAACTCATTGGAAAAATAGGCCAATGATATATACAGTCGGCTTACAGGGGAAAGATTTCAGATCTCACTAGTAGGGAGAGGCAAACTAAAACATCATTAAGATACTATTTTCATGCATACGATTAGCAGAAATTTAAAAGATTATTAATATCCAGGGTTGGGAATGTGAATTGATAGTCTTTTTTGGAAGACACTTTGGCAGTTCAGTATGTGTTAGAATTTTTAAGTGTGCATCTCTTTTGACCTACTAATATTACAGCTAAAACAACCTACAGAAAACATTGTACATATACACAAATGTGTATTCAAGATGCTTACCAGTACTAGCACTGTGGGAACCAATCTACATGTCCAATAAATAGGAATGGTTAAACTTACTGTATAGCCATACTTCAGAATATCATGCTGTGTTAAAAGAATGAAGTAGATCTATATGTGCTGATATGGAAATGTCACTGAAACATTTTAAGTGGGGGGAAAGCAAGTAATAGAGATATTGGAGGATATGTTTGTAAATGCATATAGAAACCCATGTGGACAGGTATACCCCAACTGTTAGTAGTGATTACCTTTCAGGAAGGGAGAGAATTAGGGGTGGGGAATAAAGGAAAACATTAATTTTTTACACTGTCACTTTCTGTTGTTTGAACTGTGTACAGTAAACATGTATTCATGTTTTTTAATTTTAAAAATAACGTTATAAAGATGATTGGGAAGTTGGAAGATAGGTTAATAGTGTTTAATATCTGAATGCTACCATTATAGGTCATTTTTATTTTTGTGCTTTTCTGTATTTTGGAAATTCTCTATAATTACTTAAGTCACGTTTTAAAAGCTGGAAGTAAAAAAAGGTTATTAAAAAGGTCTGCATAAATTCAAAAAGATATTTGAATGCCTACCTATCATGTTGTAATGTTAGATTTAACCTATGGAAGTTAGGTATCATTTGTTTTGCCATTGTAGGAATGCTAACTTCAGTGTTAACAAAGATTCAAGAAAGGGTGGAGGGCACAGGATAAAAGAGGATATAATTTTGAAGTAAAAGTTACTGCTTTTTTTCTTTTAGTTCTTTAAACCTCTGAATGAGCTTTCTATCTTCTATTCATTGTAACTAATTTTCATGTATTTCTTTTTTTCTTTCTCTTTTCAGGGTTAGTAAAATTTCAACCTTCCCTTTGGCCTTGGGACTCAGTGAGGAACAATTTGAGAAGCGCCCTGACGGAGATGTGTGTTCTCTATGATGTTCTCAGTATTGTTAGGGATAAGAAATTTATGACTCTTGATCCCGTTTCTCAGGATGGACTTCCTCCAAAGCAGGTATTTGTGGGCTTTAGCTGAATAATGTAATTTAGGTGAATAAAGTAATGAAAACTTAATTTTGTTAAGTCCCAGGATCATTTTTTAGGCCGTGTGTCTACTGCTCTCTTTTCTTTTCATGCAAAATTAAGTCAAGATGAAGATTTAAAGATTAACTAGTTCAAAACAAAGGCATAAAACTGTATCTCTTATTTATTATTTTATTAATATAACTGTGACCCTCAGAAGAGTTGTCTCATTAATAACATAATACTTTAAAGTTTCCCAAATCTTACAAATTCTTATAGCCTGCTTCCTTGGTCTATAATATATTATACAAAAATGTGATGACAAAATGGCTTTGGTGTCAGATAGACCTGAGTTCAAATCCTGTCTCTGCCCTCACTAGCCCTGTGACCTTGAATAAGTTATTTTCTCAGTTTTTCCCTCTGATCCCTTCCCCTTCTTTTTATGGCCTGGTTAGAAAAATTAGAAAGGCCAGGTACATTTACTGCGATCTGATGAAGAGTTTATTCAAGTTTTGAACATTAGAAGATGAAAGGGAGGTGGCAGGAGGGTGAATTGGAAGATGAAGAGTTTGAAGTCAGGGAGACCAACTGAGAAGGTTTTTAAGGAAAACAAGCATCAGGACCATGACCAAGTTAGTGGCATGGAGAGGAAGTAATGGTTGTAAGAACCCATTTGTAAATAAAACTAACTGAATATAATCATTTACATGGTAATAGTTTCAAAACCTAGAAACATTACTCTGGAAGAAGAGATCATGAAATCTGCTTCATTCATCCTACAGAGAGAAAACTAAGGCCCAGAGAGATCAGTGATGTGTTCAGGTTGCAGTAAAGCCAGTGGTTAGAGAGCCAAGCCAAGCCCCCCAGCATCCACTGCCTTTTCCACCTCTGTGCTTCTCTCAGAAATAAGTCTGAAAAATTTCTTGAGCTCTTCAAGAACTTAGAATTAGGTTCCTTGATATGATCAAAAGATTATTGTGACAGCCCTGGCTGGTTTGGCTCAGCGGTTAGAGCGTCGACCCGCAGACCAAAGAGTTCTTGGTTTGGTTCCCGCTAAAGGCACATACCTTGGTTACAGTTTGTCCCTGACCCGGGTTGGAGTTGTGTGGGTGGCAGCCACTCAGTGTGTCTCTCTCGCATTGATGTTTCTCTCTCTCTCTCTTCCTCCTGCTCTCCTTCTCATGCTATCTGAAGATAAATGCAAAAAAAAAAAATGTCTTTGGGTG